AAAAAAAAAAAAAAGACAAACAACTGATACTATGAAATCTTTCTAGACTGAGTCGAATTTTCTTATAATTTAGATACGGTCTGGTAAGGCCATGTTGCGCCACTGCTTTTGGCTGGGCAAGGTCGAACCAAAATATGCCTGGCGAGACTGCAAACGAGCTTGTATCACGAGTCTCTCCCCCCCCCCCCGTCCCCCCCTTCCCTTCTTGTATACGTTTATGCCATCGAAGCGTAACCAAAAGCTATGTTCCAAATTCAGCTATAATCCGGCCACATCCATCCATCAGTAACTAAGTGTCTCAAGATATTAGGGCAGTTAGATATCACAACATCAACAACAACACCAACAATATAACAACAACAACATAAAAAATTCACCAAAAAGGTCTAACAGGAGGCGAAGAAGCGAGTGAATATCTCTTCCATACCAACAACTTGGAAAATACTATTTTCCGGGTAAAAATGGGAAGAAGCGAGTGAATATCTCTTTCATACCAACAACTGGAAAGATACTATTTTCCATGTAAAAATGGGAAATAAAGCATTATAAAAATCGCATATTAAGAAATTCCACATAAAAAATTATAACTAGGAAAAATTGCCCGAGGCACCTTGCCAAAGATTCACCCGTTATCCAATACAGAATCAAGCTATAAAAGCGTAATAAATGTTGTTATATTAAACTTAAAAACCCTAGACGTGTTCATGTTCTGTGTAATTGGAAAATTAAAGCAAACTAATAGAAAACAAAACTTGCATTGCGCAGGGAAGTGAATCAACGAAGGAAAAAAACCGCGCATGCAATTTTAGGAGCATATCTATCAACCTCGCTCCCAGGATTCACTTAGGAACTAGAAAAGGCCTGGGAGCCAGGTTGCATATCTATTTGTTAGTTTTGAGAGTTAAGTGATAAATCAAGACAATATTACCTAGCTAGTAGCGCAGATATTTTTTATATCTCATCTCCTGTTCCCTTAGCGTTGTATAGATATTGTGAAGAGAAAACAGATTTTGATCGGAATTTTTGTCAAACCCGGCACCTGTCCTTCAACAGGTGGCAAACCGTGATTTGTAATGATCGTAAGTTATTCCATCGGGCAGAAATAGAGAAAATAAAACACATGAATTACTTCCAATATTTCCATCAGTTGAAGCTTATTTTGCTCAATGATAATATTTTTACAGGTCATTTTAATTAGTTTCTCGGGAACCAGCAGGTTGCACTTTGAATAGGCCATGTGACACCTGAGCGATGCGAGACAAAACATTTCGTCAGTCACTCAAAGAGTTTGTGACTACGGCGCGAAAATCACGATCACTGCACCAAAATTACTTCCACACGAATGATCTTACAAAAGCCACACCCAAGTCAACCGGATTTGCATGAAGATGATTTCGGCTGCTCATGCGATTCAACTTAAGCATCTTGTTGAGGAAAATTATGCAAGGAATTAATCAGGAATACCTCCTTGGGCGAATGTGCAGTCAAGGATTGGTTTTCCGATGCGAGGACTGCGGTTGTTGAGTCGATCTTTGGTTGACATTTATGTTGAAGTTGCCGTCGTGGTTCAAGTCAACTGTAAATAAGACTCGGGGTTTCCGCAGACGTGCGCTGCTGCTTTGCTTGATTGTCGTAGCTGGTAAGTGTAAATTCGATGCAATTTGCTGAAATGTCTGACAACCGTTGTTGCTAGAGAGTGTTGCCATTTTTAGCTAGGATAAACGAAGGTAGTAAAGTTTATGTTAGCTTGGTGTCTGTATTGTGCGATTGACGAACAGGTAAATCTTACGAAGTTTGGCTCTCTTAAAGTTCCTTAAGCACTTTTAAAATATAATCTGTTTTCTTAGTTACGTGTACTTGTCTTTTATTGGTTTTGGCGCGTATTTTAGGTGTATTTAATAACATAATTTAAAATGTTTCTACTGGTTTGAAACGTTAATAATTATCCTTTCACAAGAATGTGTATTTTAGTGCTACCCTCTTTAAATAAAGTCTTTACTTACTTACTTACTCACTAATGTGCCGTGAGATCACTAACGGCTCGTGCCAAACTCGCGGGCCAATACTTTTTAAATCCTGCATCCAGTTTGCAGTATTTGCCCGCCACTTTCAAACGGTCAACAAACATGGCGCAGAGTTATGACAAGTTAACCGCATAACATTAAGTAATTTGATTTAAAAACAACAACAAAAGATTTCCACGTATTATCTCTAAGGCCGCAATGAAGTCCTTAGCAAGATGTTCTGGGAATGACTACAGGCTTCCTTTTAGGATTTTAAAATAAAGGAATATGTCTTCGAATTTGCATGCAGCAAACCTCTTTTTGGTACTATGCTGCAGCTCTGTCAAAGTGGCTGGAGACGAAAGCAAACGAAAACATGCGGTGACCTCAAAATAATAAGATTTTTTCGTTCGTTAATGCTCTTGCCTTTGCATTTTCCAAAAGCCTCAACTGAAAAAAAAAAGGACGTTCTAGCAAAAGAGGAACTTATTTGAGAGGGGTCTTTAAAACGAGTAAAAACTTAATTAAGGTTTCAACCGGTTATTTGTTTTAACCCAACTGGCGCAGTGATGCACTACAGTTGAAATAAAACTTCCATAAGAGTTTGAGAATTGCATTGAGTGTGTGAAAGAAAGCCACACTTAGAACTTTTAATCGTTCTAGTTTCATGTTGCGTTGGCCTGAGCCTAAAATTATTAATATTTGAACAGGAATCGTTTATTACGACTTGAATCAAGATCATGACAACGACGATATTCCTCTTGGAAAGCGCATGACGCGTCACGTGTTCACAGTAGAGGAGATTCTACAATTCCCGGGTGATTACCACACCAAAGGCGTGCTTTCGCTTCCTTATGGAGACATTGTGGAGCCTTTTGAGGCTTGGTACTCCAAAACGAAAAAGATGAGCAGGATTGATTACTATAATGGTAAGTTGAACTGTGCAATATTTTACAAGCGTTGGAGAAATTGTGTTTCGGCTGCAATGGACTTGGGGGCACATGGATAGTAGGGATGGTCGGAACGTTTATGTAACCCCTCCCCCACCTCCGTCACACACCTTTGTTGCACGAGTAACATTCAGACCCGGGCTGGCTTAAGTGGGTCAAGTTTGTTGTAAGTTGGCTTTCTCTTTGCTTTCATTGGTACGGCGGATTTTCTCCCTCCATGCCTGAAAATGCTAGATTGCAGAATACCGGGCCACTCATTTGCATCTCATTGAATTTGAATGGTTCCTTTTGTTTCTGTATGCCTCGCTCTTAGAAGCTTTAGGAGATATATTAACAAGTGGCCCGGTATAGCAAAACCGCTCCGCGTTTTTTTTCTCTCCTCTATATAATCTCATGTTTAAATAGACCATATTCGAATTCCCGGTATTGAACTGGAACTAGCTTGCAGTCGAGGCTTATGCAGGGCAATATCATTAAAAAGAGATATATGTCATTTGCATTTGAAAAGATTCCCTGGATTAGCCTCAGTTGCAAGCTAGTTCCAGTCCAATACCGGGAATACATATATGGCCAATTGTTTGCGTCAGGGATGGACAGGACATTTCAGCGTGAGGATCTTGGTAGGCACGGGTTTGCCTGCAAAATAGTTCCTGAATACTCTGAGGCGAAACAGAAAACATTCACGGGATGCATGCACAGAAGAGGAACAAAAAAATTCCCAATAAAAGCTCAAAGCATCATACCAGCACCGTCATATTTTAAGGTAAGAAACAAGGAGAGATTGACTTCTCTTGAACCTTTCCACTTTTTTCCACCATTCCACCAATTAATAGGGAAACATTTCGTGCTAAGAAGTACACATCAATCATTCAATGACACACTGTCCATCCAATAAAATAAGGCCCTCAAAGCAAAAAGGTGTGTCATGTACAAGTTTCGGCACGAAGACATCGTGAATTCAGTGCTACGTCAGACCACGCACCGGAGCACAGGAACGAAAAACGCGCGCAAAACAAATTATATTTCATTGGTTTTGTTTTTTATGCCGGCCCCAATTGGTTGAAAAACTGCACGTTTCCTCGGATCCGATGAATGATGTGAGCACACTACACAGATTAACGCTGAAAGTCGCGGCCCTGCCATTATGCCACTACCAGTCACTTAGCAACTTGTTCCACCAGCAACGGCATGCATAGTAATGTATAGTTACTTTTGTTTTGTCTCAGTACGCTGGCTATGCAGAACTAAACGGTGAAGAGTGCGCCAAATGGGAACATTCGTTCACAATTTACGATAAAGTCAACACGTACACATTATACACAACTAAAACCCGACCGCCAAGACCTTTGCGATACGAAATGATGGGATATGATACGTTACTGTCATCTTACTATGATCACTACATCCTGGATTACCACGAATTTGAAGCTTGGAAATTCAGTTATAAAGTATTTGATATTCCAACAGGTATGTTGCCAGGCTGACTTCTCAGGCGCTCGGAAGTCGCTCGATCTTTGAGGAGGGGGTGAAAGCCAGGGACCTCGGGCCAACTAAGAATTAGATTAGTATCTTTAGGTGGGTTTTAATCTCGTCCCAGGGCTTGCGCGTTTTCGGTCAGCAAAGGCCGAACGTCCGGTGCCCTTCAGACAAAATCAAAAAGCGGAAACAGAACTTACTGGTTCCAGTTTAATTGCACGAGGCTTCTAGGTTGAGTAATGGTTACTGAAAATGTGACCGGAGCCTCCGCCGTAGGTCTCGAATAGCTCTTGCTTAACTTTCATCAATTGTATTTAACAACTATTCGCCGAAGGCGAAGTGAATATTGATGAATATTCACCAAGACGAAGTCGGGGTGAATATTCACCTATGTCCACTGAGCCTGAGGCGAATAATTGTTTTAGTATAATTTTCAGAGGCGAATATCAAAGACTACAAAATAACGGACTAAAACATAAAAACACAGACGCAATTGTTCGTGCGCATACACGTATGCAGCCGTGGTTTTAATAATAACCTTACATGTACATCGATTGTGAATCAATTTACTCATCGAGTTCGGCAGTAAAACAAACGAGAGAAACACCACGCAAAATAAATTCATCCAGTACCTTTGTTTTATCGCTGTTCAGTTCATTCACAATTGACATCATCGTCTAAAAATGAGTAGCTTTAGTTTGAGTGCTTTAGTTTGAATGAGTAGTTTTAGTTTAGTTTGCTGGCGATCAACGTAACCACTGCGTTAACGATTCTTAAATGCCTTGAATACGAGTGCTTGAAAAGATTGTGGGTTCAAGGGCGAAAGCAGTCAATTTGAAAATACTCCATCCTCTCAAATATCCAGGACTTGGAGTGATGTCTTTCAAATAAATGAAAATTTCATGCGGCAACTGTCCGCTATGTTTACTTGCCGAGTTGGGCAAAGGTTACGAGCTTAGTAAGCTCTAGTGAGGTGAATATGGCGTCATATACCGCCGGAGCTTTTCGACCAATCAGAATGTCCAATTCTTATGTTCACCTCTGGAAATTATATTAACACAATATAATCCAAGACGGATGCGAACCAATTTCGAGCAGAAACTACAGGACTACAGAACTTTTCTTATTGCTTCGCATTCATGCTAGAGTACAATGCAAATGAAAATTGTTAACCGGGAAAAGAGCTATTGTAACGTGCAAATGATGTGCTTTGCAAGCATGCGTAATATTATGTTTATTACTCTGGAACGTCTAGGATGAAACATGCCAAAAATAGGAAAAATTTAAGATAAGATTAGTACTCTGCGAATAGCCTTTCGGGCATCTGCC